CTGTGTCTTAGCTATAATCCTATCACTGTGGTGTGGTATTGCTCCAGGTTTTCCTCTGTTTTCTCATTAAACTGAGTCGTGGCAACTCTGCTTTACAGAAGCAATTCTTCAAAGTGGGTTTGAGAGATTCTTAAATGTGCACAATTAAAATAGACAGCTGCACACCAGCCCTCTTTTATCCTAGCAGAGTTAAGTGAGCTTAATCTTCCCGTTCTCATATTGAGGAAGCAAGGGAATTTTCCTGATACATTTGGTGATCTTTGTTCTCATGCTAAATGTGCAGAAAGATAAATCCACTGATTTTATTGGTGCTACAAGGATTTACATTTATTTGCGAAAGAGGAAAACCAAGATCATAAATGAACTGTTCTGGTAGTAAGAACACAGGATTTGTTTCTTTGATTAGTGGTTATTTATTTCTCTCCCATTTTAGCTCAGATTTGTCAAGGCTTTTCAGAAAGGCTGAATTCAGCATATCTGAGAGTTGTCAGCCCGACAGCTCTGCAGACTGTAGTCTCCTGTTTACTTTACGCACAAAACAGGATCGACCAAGGCACTAATGCAAGCTTGCCGTATTTCAGCAGCTTTACAATCTGCTTGCTTCTCCACTTGTGTGGAGGTAGGATATAAACAGTTGAGTTTTCATGATCATTTGCTTCTTGGCTTCTTTGCAGAGGAAGGGTGCCAGTTACTAGACTCAAACTGTTGCTGAGAAAGGATGCCAATTGCTACCAGGCAGAGTAATTTTATGAAATCCATAGCTGTCTGCAAGGAAGAACACAAACATCAACAATTACTTTACAGAGTAAACAGCCCTCGTAACTATGTGTGACACTCTGCTGAACTGGATTTACTATACATGAACAGCTTCTCAAACTCCTATTGTAGTATCTGAAATCTGGCTGCAGGAAGCTTTGCAGGTTAAAATATTTTATCACCTATTGAGCTGCATTTCTTGAGGAGGCTCAGTTTCATAGCATCAGTCAGCTATTAATGGCTAAAGCAGAGATATTTCTGTTGCCAGCATCCTTGGCTGCTGCTGCTGCTTCCTCTGATGGGCAGTATCCTGTGGTAAAGCATGGTCCCACCTGTGTTGCCAAGTGTATGCAGACTTGTATAGGGGGAGATCAAGACAAACTTCCACCATTATGAGTCTACACCTGGAAATATCCTGACAAAATTAATCCTGGAGAGTGACTGCAGACCTTGAACATCCCTGAAACCTCATTTAGTGTCTCAAAACTGATCTTCAGAAAGACAGAGGGATGCATGAGTCTGGTGAGGAGTATTATAGAAGATACGTAGGATTGAAGTTTCTCATTGCACTGGGAACTCAACTTCTACTACACTGGCTGAGTAAAGGGCATATTGCCTTTGCACTGTATCACCAAATGGGTGAGACACTGGGGATACTCTGCCCACCTCATAAAATAACTTAAATTGACTTTTTCCTGGGGCATCTTTCATCCTTCCTTGTTGGCTCTGCAGTAACAGTTGCAAGGGAGAGAGCTCCAGAGCCAGTTCCCAAATCTTGCTTCCGCACCTGCTTGGGACAGGAAGTTTTCTGCTATCAAAGGCTTTTCACATCTTCTTTCCCACAACAGTCATGGGCAGGGAATCAGAGAACAAATGTTACAAGCCAGGGTCATGATCTAGGGACTGCGTGAAGCATCAGAAGAACCCATTTGAACTGATCACCATCTGAAAGGCAAGTCCTAAGATCCTTTCTAAATTTGTTTGCACAGGATGGAAAAAAATATATTTCCATTGGGAAGGAATAAAGTGAATCCATGCTGATGACAGGTATTTGTCTTGTTTTGCCAACAGCAAGTCCTCTTTCCAAAGGAGCGGCATTCGCACTAATCCCCATTTGAGCCTGAAACAATTAGCCGATCTGTGCTTTTCAGAGGCAGAATGCAGTGTGGAGCCTTTGTATTTATTTGTGTCAGCAAACAAGTATGTGGGTCTGTGCACAAACACACTTGAGATGTCACCCAGATTATGCTCTATTTTCAATCTGGTTGCTGGTTTTCAGTGCTATAACTGGCTTGCAGCATGCAAGGGTACAACACTGAGTCCATCCTCCTCCAAGTGCTGATTATCAGTATGGTATTGGCAGATCACCTCTTTTTAGGGCCCAGGGCAGAGTAGAGTTGTGCAGACTTTTGGTTTATGCTATAAAGGAGCTGAGGTCTGTACTAGGCTCCCAACTCTCTGTTTGTATGCACAAAGTTTTTGTGCTGCCAAATGGTTTTACTTTATAAATTATGAAAACAACTGAATCAATAAATATTAACATAATGTGTATTGCCTTGGCAACATGGCACTTGATACAAAAATTAAAAACAAATTATATAAACCACCCACGGTGGGGAGCTTTACAGGAGATAAACCTGCTGCCGTTGCTGCCAGAGGAATAAATCATCTGGAATCAGAACAAAGGCGAACAGTCCAAAGTTAAACAACATAAACCAAAGGCACCTTTCCCCAGACAGGTCTGTGCTGGTCTTCAGGTGCTGTGTGCTGAAAATGAGACTATCGCAACCCATGCGGGCGGCTTACCAGGACTGGCATCAGTTGCTTGCAAAAACTTATTTGATTCCCTGAGAGTCCTTTTGGGATCAGTCTATACAGCCAGCTTCTTTGGAAGAGTCTGTTTCTCTTAGAGATTTTCTTCCCAGCTTACAAATTTCAGGACAAATCTGAAAACATGTGGTAATGAACCAAATAATTGTCTTGAGCACACGCTCATTTTGTCTCCATTGGATGATTCGCCAGGATATATTTCTTCAGTTTTACTAAATGTTAACTCATCAGATACTTTGTATGATTTCTGGGAAGCAGCTGGGTCCGTATGTCCTGGAGCTTAGTCTCTAGGAGGAAAGTGTTGCTAAGCCTTGGTAGCACACAGAGAGGGTAGTAGATAGAGAATCGGTGTAAGTTTGGCGTTTGACTCTAGCTTAGTGCAATAATTTGCATAACAACTTGAATATTTGTCAGATCAACTGAGTTACAGTCTGTTCTCATACACTACACAGTTTCTAATGAATTTGAGTGCACAGCCTTTTTGCATAAATGAACTTGAAACGTCACCTCAGTTTGCATTGCACTTTTAACATGAAACAATTGTTTCTGTTGTTTTAGTGCTATAACCAATACCATGCCATTAAGATTACTTGCTACTAAGTTGTATGCACATTGCATTAAAATAAAAAGGCTTTTTATGGCTGAGTGCCTTGTGCATACTCTGCCTTCCATGTTAGCTTTTCCCCTGAATACTACACTATTTCCAAAGATGCGCCTTAAAGAGTGTTGCTTTTTTGACAGGGACAGAACTGTAGCTCAGTGATTATGAAGCAGTCTGTATCCTGAGAAGATCAGTGCTAAACTGTGCCTAGAAACTGTCTGTAGTACATTCTTATGCAGAGGGTTGGGGCTTGGACATGCATAATTTCATTTATTAAAGTTAGAATATATTTTAGACCATGTGCCCTCTGAAGCAGGAAACAAGTAATTTGATTTTATATTAATTTGCTAGAAACACAGAACAACATTTGAAAGGGCTGGTACAAACCTGACAGTCCAAAAGTATTTATACAGAGAGCAATTTGCTTAACCAACTGCTTCCTTTGTGTCATCTGTTCTTGCAGATAGTTATATTTGGAATAAAGTGTTTTTCTGCTCCTGGTACCTCTTGAGGGACTTCCTGTGGTGATGTGGCTTTAGAACTGAGGCAGGTAGGCTGTGGCTCCCTGGGGAAGGGAAACTCATTTAATACATGAATAATGTCGAATGTCAGTCAAGCCAAGGCAAAAAAAAAGAAAGGTGGACAAATGAAAGATAAGTAGGTTTAAATAATTACTGTTGAAATGCTGCTATGCTTGTAATTTTTTTCTCAGCATGGAAGTCCTTCTGTAAGCAATTCAGCACAACCCTTTGAAACCGGCTAGAGCTTTATTAATATTTCAGTGGCAGCGTTAGTAACGGCATGAACGATGGTAGTGCTGTGATGAGCTATAGTGTTTTCAGAGAAATCCCTGTCTTAGGTGAATCAATAAAACCGCATTGATTTGCACCAGCAGAGAACTTGGGCCTCCCAGTGTAGACACCAACCCTGCAAACATGCTCTCCTCTGCCGTTAGTCCTGGGAGCACTTCTAGAGAGCTCAGTGGCAATAATCCTCACCCCAGGAAGAAGTGGCTGGATTTAATGGCATCACTCATACTAGCGAGCACTGGGTCTACTCAGATGTGTTTGCAGAAAGAAAATTATTGCTCTGATCGCAGAGTCCATTCCTCTTTAGGGAAGTACTTAGGACATGGTCTCCTTTCAACCTGTGTTTAAGTCCCATTGGCATTGGTGGGTACAAAGTGGTGTTTTTCTGAATAGGAGGCACATACATTTATGTGCTTGCTTGCAGTTTTTTCACATCTGCTTTTAGATGCCTTTTATCTCTTTCAGCGAACTTTGCATTATCCTCCTCTTAAATGTGTATCTTGTCTCCTCTGGGTGCAGTTGTTCTTCCCACACTGTTTCAAGCAGACACATAACAAAGCATTAGGTATTACACTTGTGCCTTTCTCCAGTTGTAACACTCAGTATCACTGCCTGATTGCATGACTTCAGACTACACCCCTCAGTTATTTGACTGAACTGGAAGCACTTTTCTGTGCACCACATGTTACTGGAGGAAGATTGTCTCTCAAAACCATACTCAAAATGGAGATTTCAAGCAGATTTCTTCCCACGTCAGCAACAACAGCTCAGAAAAAATGTTGACCTGTTTGTATTTCCATTTTCTACTGTCAGATATCTTGACATACCCAGTTTCTACAGCTCAAAAGTTACAGCATAATCTTTTGTTATCTTCTTTTTTTTGCCATTTTCCTTAAGATGTTGTCCCCTCACAAGAGTAGTCCAGGCTATTTTCTCTTCTAGCTGGGAAGTTCTCCTTAAGAAATATGCATGCTATCAAAGAAAAAGAAAATAAACCCATCTAGGATTATTTCCAGCAGGAAAAACAGCTACAGCTGAGGGGGCAACGATGCCAAAGCCCAGGCGTCCGGAGTCAGAATTCTGAGATTTGTGAAGAGTTAAGTGAGTTGCACGTGGATAAGCAGTTGAAGGCTGAGCCACCACCTCCAGTAGGGCAAAAAGAGGTAACAGAAACAACTTTCCTACCTGATACTGCATGCAGTTCATTGCACCAGTTCCATAGTGCATGTCACTGATTTATGTGGAGTTTACGGCTTGTAAAAATACATGTTTGTCAAGTGGTAGGAAAGCAGTAGTACGTACTAGGTATGACAGTCTTAGTAAAGATGAGAGAGGATTTTGTTGTTATAAAAATCATTGTAAAACTTGGGAAATGTGCACTGTAAAGTAAGATGGGATTCCAAGAGGCTTTGGGAAGAAAAAAAAAAAAAAGAAAAGGAAAAAAAAAAACGTAAAATTATCCATAATGTTACTGTCTTATTTTAGGAGGAAATATGTGTGTGTTTTCCCACTGAAAAGTAGAAAATGGAATGAGAATGGCACCTGCTGACTTGGCAGATCTGTACATTGAGTTCACTGGAGGGCATTTGCGATCTGTCACAAATGCCATTTCTTTTCCTGTTAGCACATAGACCCAAGAAAAAATGCAACAATTTAAGTAGCTGACATGAAGATACATGCTAATTAAATAGTAAGCCTTGGTATTATTCAGTTGACATTGGCCAAAGTGCGGCTCACTTGTTTCTTGATGTGTACACAAGGACATTTATTTTCAATTAATAGGATTATGTCATTTGTATGAACATGAATACCAAAAACACATGTATTTATAATGTACACTGAGTGGCCCCATGCTTCAAATTCCCTGTATCCTGCTTGCTGACTTCTTGGGTTTTTTTCCCATTTAGCTTTGTCATTTTATTGATATAACGTTGCCTTTTTTTTTTATTAGAGAGTGATGGATTCCTCTCTTTGAAATCTTGAGGGTTTGGGTGGAGCTGGTGAGTTTGGGTGATGTCCTGGGAATTTGGGGAGCTCCGTAGCTCCTGGATATTGGAACCAGTAGTGGTTTTGAGGGTCTGAATTAATGAAACGGAAAAGATTACTTAGTATCAATATGCATGGCACTTCTCCCAGTTCTATAAGACTTCTGGCAAGTTTGTGCCCAGCAGGAGCAATCCTATAAAGAAATCTTGACAGAGCAGCAGGAAACAGACACATCACAGAGCCAGAGCTCATCTTCTCCAGACCTGCTGATTCATATTGTCATATGGGGTGGAATTTACTAAATTAAATGTAGACATCTGCATCTGAACTTGTCATCTGAGACCCCTTTATAATCAGTGAGGACCTGGAGCCAGTGTAGTCAGGTAAATATGTCTCATCTCTGACTGAAATCAACATTACAATTAAGTCAAGTAAATAGTCTTCTGAAAGTGCTTCTTTCTCTCCATTGACTATAAATGGATCCCAGGATAACAAGATGAATTGTACACTTAGGTGAGCTAAATTCCACCCACAGTAACCTGAAATCCTCTAGCCGTGAAACATTTCTTTAAGGAATAACTGTCCATGGCAGAATACTTCTTGGTGTATTGAACTTCATCTTCAGAATGGAAAGGTCCTGAACTTTAGAGGAAGGAGACTTAAATATTTGATATCCCAGCCTTGGAAAAAAAATTATATGTATTTACCAAAGAAACACAAAACTTTAAAATGTTGAGATGAAGCATTATAACTTGGAGAAGTTACAAGACAATTTCAGGATTTTTTCTCTCAGGCGATTAGGTATCCTTCATGATTAAATATCTTTTTGAGATAAATAAACCCTGCGATCCTAATATGGAGGCTGGAAAAGCATGTCCTTTTTTAGTGCTATAATGAAATGTCATGATAAATCAGGAACATTCTAGCCTTGATATATTCAGCAACAACATGATAAAGAAATAATCCCCATTTCCTCCCTCAACATTCAAAGGATTATGGGACATAAAGTCACCTTTCTATAGTAAAGTACAATTGGTTCTATTTGCAGCTGCTTAGAAAGAGGTGGAGGAATATGGCAATAATCCAGGGATGACTTGAAATCAAACGGAAGTTCACATGAGGCTATGAATGCCAACATGAAAGAGTAAAGCCCAAATGATGCTATTTTTGAAGGCCAGATCTTGTGTGGACATTACATACTTAAAGTCCTCCTATTCAGAAGTAATCTTTGTGCCGGCACACAAGGACATGCTAATCATCTTTTTGATGAATGTCCCAAGAACTTGTGACTAGCCAAATAAAGCCAGCAACTGAGAAGAAGTAACAGATTTGGTCTGCCTAAGAGACAGGGCATTGAGTGATTCAGTCAATAACAGGAAGCACTGAACGTGTTCTGAATAAAACACTGTTGATGTCAGTAAAGGACACATTATATGATTAAAAATTCATCCTATATAAATCATCAGAAAGACACCATAGAAATAAAATCATTGATGTCACAGGTGGATAAAACATCAGAGAACAAATTGCTGAATTTCTCTGCCAAAATACTGCCCCATAAAATATTTTGTACAGCTTTGTGGAATCTACCTTTAAATGTATCTTTGCAGGCAACTTAGATTTATTCATTTACCAAAGGTAACAATTCACTTGCTTAGAAAAAAAATCTCATGGCTGGGTAAATTGCCTTAATAACTAGCCTTTTCTTCTTCTTTTCCATTTGAAGTACCATTTAATTACTCTCTTTTAACAATTTTATCCATCATTCCCTTTTTATGAATTAGTATCACTTAATGTAACAGACTGTTGTTTGCTTCCTTTTGTCTTTGGCTTACCTGCTGAAGTCACTTGCCACTGTTCTTTCATTGCATTATTTCTTGTAAATGAATATCTCTGTGCCCTTTATCTGACTTTTTTTTTTTTTTTTACCTTTCTCTTTGCAACTCACCAATTATTTATTTTTGGAGTTCTTTTACCAAGAAGTAAGCACAATATTCCAAACACAACTTCCAACCATAAATAGAGGAAATAGTATCTCATTACCTAGATGCTTCCATGTAGGTTTTCTGCATTATTATATGCCCCTGCAAAATCACATCTAATTTTTTAACATTAGTTCAGGTTTCCAGAATTTCCATTGACATTTTCCTGGAATTCTCTCATTTGTACTGTTTTGAGTCAAGTCCCAATTTGCTATATTCTCTCCATGTTTCACTTCTTTACTTTCTGTTTCCTCGGTTTCTGTACTTTCTCTGATTTAATGTTATCAGCAAACATGAGGATTATATTGGTCAGTACCTCTTCTATATCTTTAGTGAAGATAATGCTGACTTTAATCCCTACAGATCTCCTCTGAAGACAAAGGTTTTTTTATATTTGGGTCCTTAGGATGGCTTTTCTCCACCCAGCAATGGGTGAATCCAAGCCGGTTACTATTTATTTTAAAAGTAGACTTTTATATAATAGGCATCCAGATATTTCTTAAGGTTTATATATCAGACGTCAATTTGATAGATTAAGTCTATGATCTTCAGAGGTGGGGGAGGAAGGGTGACAAGAGAATTAAGCCTTGAGCAAACATCAATTTTCAGGGAGATTTCAGCATTTCAGTGCTAAAGGCTTTCTGAAAAACCCATTCAGACCCATTTGCCACTGTTACAGACACAAGTGGTGGGTGTGTAAACCCTCTCTGGGTACTTAAAACAGCCATTCCACCCAGAAACACATTAAGAACTACCCTCTGCGGCATGTTTATGCACTAGTAGGAGGTCTCCCAAAGTGGCTTCTGATGGGTCCCATTGTCTCTGCCTGGTACAAATCCTCTACTTACTTGTTCCAAGAAAGAGGAGGTTCTATGTTTGTCCTTTTTGCCTTCTTTTGGCATCTTTGCACCCTGTTTGTGCACAGTACACTTGGCATACAGGAGAACCACCTCAGTGCCTTTACACCTCTGTTTTCATTTCACTCCAAGAAAGCACTCTCCTTTTGTCCTCTGAGTCGTTATTTAATTTACTTTAATCACAGGCTACAGTGAGTGTTTAGTGATCTGTGATTCCCATGATTATTCCCTTTTCTCTATGCTCAGTATTGTGTTTACTTATTGCTGCTATCCTGGGCTGTTCCCAGTTTTCCATGAGTGTCCACTATTGATCACTAACGGTGTGTTAACTTGCTGTATCGCATCCCTTTATTCTCTACGAGGTGGTTATCTGGATCTGCTGATTTGCATATGTTTCAGGCTTTCTAGGTATTTGTATTAATTCTAACAAGCTGTCCTCACACTTTTTGTTGGACCCTGTGTTCGATTCTTTTAAAAAGAGTTTATTTTCTTAGGAAACTGCATTTTGACGAGTTACATCTTGCTCATCAGTTGTTATGTCTCTAGCTCTTCCGTTTACTGTGTTCTTGAAAACCTTCTTAAATCCCTTTAACCTTCCTGGCAAAGGGTGACCTTCGCTTCTTTCCTACAAGCTTTCCTATTCTTTCCCTCCTTTCTCATACATATGGTTCCTTCTTGGAACCATATGAACCCTGTGAAGTCCCAGTTCAGACCCTCAAACCTATGTATAGTGTTTTTTGCTCCTTTTCTTCTTCAAAGGCTTTTCAGAAGAAATCCTGTCTGTTTTGTCTTGCATGTTCCTCATCTCCCTTTGATTCTGATGGATTCTAATTTTTTTTAAACTCCTTCTGATAAATAACTGTTTTGAATTCTTGATCCTTCAGGATATTTTCCTTGCAGTGTATTTTAATTGCACTGTGTTGTGTTCTGTGAATTCCCTAGCCTGTCTCTGCTAAATCCAGCTCTCTTACTGACAATGCTATTGAGCTGACATTGTTCTCACAGTTTTTTTTAATTTCTGTCTCTTGGTAAGAATTATATCTAGCAAGGCTTCTTTTCTCATTGGAACCCCCATTTTCTACATCCTACAGCTGTATACAATTTAGAAGTATTTCAGTGATCTGTGTTTTGATGTCTTCATAACAGAACAGATAATGTTTAAATGCATTCCATAACGAACAGTACCAGAAAGTTCTGACTGTGCTAAAATTTGACTTTTTTTCCACTATCATATGCCATTGGTAGTCTGTAGAAAATGGGCTCTGTACCAGAGTTGCATTTTGAATATGGATTTTTTAGATGCTTTATCCATGTCATTGACCTGCGCTTTCTGTTCTGACTGTCTTTTTAAAAGGCTTCTTCTGAATTGTTTGCAGCCCTTTGGATTAGAGCATTAAAAACCCTAGCCAAGACTATGACCTTCTGGATGCTGCAGCTAATTGCAAACAAGTAGCTTCCATCCCCTCTTGCAAGCATTGCTGGAACGTTTAGTCTTCCCCATTTTACCCCAGGTTTAGCATTTCTCTCAATTCAACAATAAATTTTGCATTATTGTCTATATTGGAAAACAGAGGGCATATCTTCACATTAATAATAAATATGTAAAGCTGTACCTGTTCTCTAGCTATCATCCTCATGAAAATAGTATTTTATGTGTTCGTGCCATCTCTCATAGAGCTATCTCACAGGTTGTTTAAAAGCACGGGTAAGTATTATTGTCCTTTTTTTTTTTTTAATGGAGATAGTACTATTGCATGATAACGCACAAAAAGATTGCAGTAGGTACTCAGACAACAGTTAACAGATCACCCAACTCTCCTGACTCCTGTTTATAGCTATTCTGCATGATGTGACACATAGAAGTTGCCAGCTTTGATGTTGTCCACTCGTGCCAGATATTGCTCTAATACAGTCAGAAACAGTAAGCAGGGCTGGTCTAATCACAGAATCACAGAACCACTTTAGTGGCCAAGTGAATAATCAAGTAAAACATAATTTTGGATTAGCACAAAATTGAAATGTTTTATTGTGACTAGTAAAATAAAATAGGGGGTAAAGTGGAACCCTGTTTTCTTCTGAAGAAAATGTTTTGATTTGTTGAAAGAAAGTTTTGACCTGAAATGAAATTTCTGTTTTGTATTTGGGTGACATATTTAATCTACATTGTATTTCTTTTAATAGCAAATTCTACCTCTAAAATGTTTTTTTTTTAAATAATGTATTTCCCAGCAACTTTTACCCAGATCTACTTAGGTGTTCCCCTTCTAAATAGATAAGGCAACCAGTGCTTCAGGAATCAGGAGTTTCCTTGTCCCCTTTTTGCAGAGGAGAATTTGAGAAATGCTGAGTCCAAACAATGCACCTAAGATGATGGTGTCAGATATTTCAGGCAAGCAGTGAATGTGTCCTTCCTCCCATATCACCTTGAGATCAGAGGTGTGTGCCCACAAGGCAAGTGGCAACATCACGTGGTGGGAACAAGTTAGGCATGGGATGAGGCAGGTGGAAAAGCCCTCTCACACGCATGTTTCTGTAGCATCGTGTGACTGGACCTTGGTGTCAGAGGGACTTCTGCTGTTCTCAGAAGAGAAGCTTTGGCAGCAGGGAGCAGAGGATGGTCCTAACAGACAAGGTGCAGATTTCACCCATGAGGCGTGGGTGAGGGGCCTAAGGACCTAGGTCCCACTTCTGGTTCCTCCCATCTGAAGGTATGAGCCTTCAGGACATGCAGGCCTTAAAATCGTGAGTTTTTCTGTCATTCCAAGCTTCCACCTACCATTCATATTCAATTGATGTTCACTGTCTTTCTACAATTTGCTTCTCTCTTGTTTAAAAAAAGTAAGTTTTACATAATAACTTTCTTTTTTCTCATTAATGGGTCAACTGCTAGCTCACTGCAACGTAGGCAGAGCTGTCATTCGAGGAACGGGCACCATGTGAAGTGCATGGAGATGTCTCTCTGTTGTAGTGGCTTTAGCTGGGGTATTGGTTAGTGGAATAAAAATTCAGCTACTTCCTTCAGGTCAATTGATCAATTTGTTTTCCTCATCTTTGCTCTTGTTGACAACAAGCTTGATGAAATCAGTCTTTCTGAAGGCAGCACAGTGGATTTGACAAATCCTGCAGAACTGCTGGAGCAGATCCCTGAGTTTGCTGAAGAGCTGATGGAGCCTGAAGATTGCTTCCCCGAAGGTAAGGGCCTGCATATCTGCATGTTTCACTGCAATGTTGAGGCAAGAAACCTCCTTTTATCTCAGTGAACATCTCTCCACCTTCTTGCCACGTTGCTGTGGCTGCTTGCAGTAGTATTGCACTGAATGCGCTTTTTTTCTTAGGTACAAAGTACACACTCAAAATCACTTGTTATCATTAGTCTTTGCATTTCCAAGGTGAGATAAGCCAAAATGAATGCTCTACAAGGCTACACACCTTCAAAAGTACTTTTTGTGTCACAAAAGGGTTTGTTGGTGGTTTAGTTTTTTTTTTTTAATGTTAATTTTTCTAATTTGGCCAGTGAAGACTTTTGCCGTCCACTACATGTGCATAATCAAATTTGGTAGAGAACTGACAATTTCAGGATGTTTCTCTTGCTTAAATGTATATAGGCAGTTAACAGAAACTGTCTGGAGAGTTCATGAGTCCTAGGGACATTCTTCCATTTATGTTAAAGGTTGTTAATATTAGCATGCCCAGTAACTTTCATCTGACCGGGGTATTTTACTTAATTATTTTAGAGAACAACAAATCACATTTACATAACTTTGTTAATACCAAAGTACACCTTCATGTCATTTTTTTTTTTAACACCAGCTTGATCCAAAACATGAGTATAAGACCCAGCTACGTCAGATCTATTTTAATGTAAATCTTTAAGGTAAATAACATCCCAAGGTATTTCTTCTCACAGTGAGTTCAATTCCAAATATTATCTCAATCATATTCCTCATTTGCCTTTAAATCTGGGTTAGGAAAAATAGGGTTAGCTGAATGTTAGTATATTCCCCTGAAAATTCAAGGTTTATTAGGAATAAAAACAGAGCTGCGCAGATGGGATCAGACAGAGATGATTTGCTGGGTATATGAATGCCCCTGAAGTCAGCAGAAATGTGCATCTCTGTATCTGTGATAAAGATGATTGAATGAGGTAAGGGAGCCCTGCAGGGCTTACAAATGTCCCTAGGTTCTAAACATTTTTTTGGCAGCTCTGCTTAAAAGCAGTAGCCAAAAATTAATGCAGTTGATGGAAGAAAGCATGGTGTAACTGTTCTGGCCCATACAATAACATTTAGAAATTAGATCAGGTATTTCCATTCTTTTACTATATATTTCTTAATGAGGCTACTAAGCAGCAATCTGTGTTGTGCACTGCAAAGTGAGAAATTATAATTGCTTAAACAAGCAAGTGCTGTAAGAGCTGTGCTAGTCAGATGCCAGTTTACAAATTCTGAAACTGTGGCTGGCCATGATCACCTTCCAGTTTTTAAAAGGAATAAGGCAGCAGTCACACAACCCATCCCTTCATCTAGCACACAGCCCTGATTCATTCCCAGAACAGTAGCACTCTGTAATTTGCTCTGTCTTAAAATAACCACAACTGCCTGGAACTCCGTCATGCAAGACCACATCAGTATCAACCCAGTTTGTCAGATCTTCTCCACTGCTGTCAGTGGAATTTGGGGTAGCAAATGGTGCTCCTCTAGATGGATCACTGGAAGCATTAAGCCAGTTTTGGAGCCCACTCGTTATCTTGGCAGTAGAGAAATGTAGAAACAAAAGCACTGCGGGCCTTGAGATCTGAATGGGCATTAAAGGGGAACCTGCTCCAAGGGTGTCCAGAGGCACTGGGGACACAGTTGCAGGTGATGACTTCACCGACATATTTGCTCTGCTTTCCTGTACAGCACACATCCATACAGTTTTTTCAGAGTCTACTGTTTAGGTTAAATGTGATCACATTCCTCATGGATTAGGCAAAAATGCATAAACTTGACATGTGAAAGTTTGCTCATAAAATTTCAAGTCGAAGTGCCATAAGCTGAAAGTCCAAATGATTCTTACTGCAGTGACATCAACATCTGCATTTGTTTATGCAGGGAAACATTTTCCTATAATTTTCTTCTGTTAAGTACTTTCCAATATTTTTACCCAAATTTACCATTGCAATAAAATCTCATGCAATTATCACTTCAGTCTAGTTAAAATCCAAACAATCCAACAAACAACAGTCTGGTTAGCTAAGATATGACACAGTTATAAAGCACAAAAATGAAAGTATTGAAGGGCATGCACTGAGCAAGCTTATGTAGTGTTGCCTTTACTCATTTGTAATAAAGACGTATAACAATATTTGGTATATTTGGGAGAATGACCAGCTAATATTTATGAAAGAAGGAAAGTAGGTGAGATGAAAAGGAAGAGCGAGAGGGGAAGGGTTAAGTTCTTTACCTTGTTAGCGCACCAGCTATCTAAATTCAAACTATGACATTTCTAAACTCATCCAGCGTAGGTTATGTCCTGAACAAATATGTTCCCGATTCAGCCCCTTTTTCAGATAACAAAGGCAATGAAGATAATGCATGTTCTTGAAATAGATCCTGAAAGTTTGCTGAGGTCACAGTTTTCCCGGAGTTGGGTGACCCAGATAAGCCATATGTTGTTTTTCTTGGGGAGACTTGTTAATTTGTTATTATCTCAAAATAGATTTGATTAGGGTCAATGGGGAGCATTCTTGGGTCAGGAAATGTGAAGCCATGGCGGGGTCACAGCTCTGGCAGCTACCAAGTATTGCTGGGAAAAAACTGATAGAAATGGAGAGATCGTTCTTGTTGCCAGTTGATGGGAAAGCAACATCTAGGCAATGCCAGCTACTTGGGTATTTTTTCCTCCAGATGCCTTGCAACACTCCAGTCCTGTTACCTCCATTGGTATGTGTTCTCTGCATCAAAAATTGCTATCTGTTTGGACATTATCATCTGTGTGTCACAGAAGGTCATCCAGAGAGCCCCCTGGCCTCAGCACACTCCTCTCTCCCAGACCCTAATAGGAGAAAATTTTCACCAAGTCCTTAAGCGTAATTCCCTGGACACAGTCCGCTGGCAAAGGTTTCTAACAAGTATGGTCAGATGCTCGTGTGAGAATGAGCTACCTTGCTTAATGCGCAGTAGAACGCAACTCGTGACACCAAGGACGCCCAAAACCAGTTTTTCATGTGACCATGTAGGAGCAATTATCGCAGCTGGAAAATGCCATGCGACACAGTGAGGTTACTCTGATTAATGGTGGGATCTGCGTCATACCCTCCCCAATCACAGTTAGCAGCTATTTAGAAATAAAAAAGCCAAGAGGAGCAAAAATAGACCATTAAACTGAACAAATCTAAATTCAACTACAGGGACCACCACCAGATAATTTTTAAAACCTAAGTAAAACCAAACCAAGCCCAAGAAAATAGATTAATTGTCAACCTAGAAAAATAACATGGAACAAACCCAATTTTAAAGTATCTCTTAGAGCTGTGATACCTGAGACACAGTGTATTTTTCCATCAGGAAGAGCATGCTAGTATTTTGTTGTATACAATTTTTAGACACCATACAGGTATTGCAGTCCTATTGCATGTACAGATATAAATTAATTCAGTTTGGACAGGGCCTCTAGATTTCAGCTCATCTACCTTCTCGCTCAAGGCATAGCTGACATTGGTGGTAGAACAGGCTGCCCACTGCCTTCGCTTCAAGGCGTCACACCATTATCTGTAGTGACCTCCAAAAGAGTATGTTTTGAGAAGAGTAACAGCAGATAAACAAGAAATGTACCCTTGTAAAACCCTTGGAAGAATAAAATCACCTGGCAGACAGTGGCTTTGTCAGGTGCTTTCTTAATAGCACCCAGATCTAGCACACAAGAAGAAAAGACTTGTATCTCCATCTGTGTCTCAGCTACCCCCATGCTGGAGGTGCTGACGGCAGATCTCTCCCATGCTAGCCCAGAGCTGCACAGTATAAAATCCAGCCATGTGTACTAGTGGGTCAGTGGGGCCAAAAAAAATAAGAAAGGGGTTAAATAAGGAGTGTCTGCAGAGATCATGTTCCCTTCAGCCTGGGGAGACAGCTGGGGTCTCACAAAGGGACAACAGCCAGGCTTGCTTCCTTGCTTGAGCTTACACAACTAGCCAGACCAGTCGTTAGAAACCCATCTTGGCAGTGATATATATATTAAAACCATGTTATGAATACCTGCCTGCTTGAGTTTATGCCGAAGAAGCTACATTTTCTTTGTGTCAAACAAGCAATGCTGTAACCAGCATTCAAAGCTAAGCAAAATATTGGTTTTTATTAAAATTTAATGTGCTAACAATTAGGAACTCCTGAGTAAAGATAGTAACAAAATAACTGCAGTTTGAACACAAGGTACCAGTCTTACTAGACCACAGTATAGCAGAAATTAATTGGTCTTCCTGGTTTATTGAGGAGAATCAGCAGTCCAATCCATCAAAACCATATCTAATTTCATGTAAATTTATATGTATATATTGGTGTGAACAAGCAGTGGATTTATAGTTTTTACTCATAAACCTGAAATCAATAGGCTTGGCTGTCATGCATGCAGGAGGGAGTTTTTGCAGTATAGCTCTCCCATTTATAAAGGCTTCTTTTTCCCCAATGCACCAAGGTAACGCAATCAGATTTAACTCCATGATTATAATGCATTAGGCTAGAAAATGTGAATGAGGAACCAAAGGAATACTTATACAAAATGCATCATAAATTAAATTCCTTCTGCTTCCCTCTCTTCTCCATCCCCCAGTAACTTATTATTGTGGCAGATTCTTAAATAAGAGCTGTCTCTGCCATACCTCCAGTGAGACCACATTTTAGGACATATTGTTAATATTCAGTTTGTGATTGTGCTATAGGGCACCACAGGGACTGAATGGAACAAGTCTCCTGTCATGAAAAACAAACAAAAAGAAAATAACATCATGGTATACTGATGCATTTGGGAAGATTTCGTGGTAAATAGGTCTCTGTTTTGTGAGAAATGGCATGTAATGTTCAAATGTGAATTGAAAACAGATGTTATTCTTGGTCAAGTTGTCCACTGATGCAGCTCAGCACAACATCCCTGATTTAGCAGCAAGTAAGTGGACCCTTATGGGGGGATTTTTTATTGTTCTGTGTTTCTGTTGAGTTGCCTGTTACCCAAAAGGCCATGGTGGAAATGAGTCAGTTTACTCTTCAAAAAAAGTGTAGCTCAACATGATTTATAGTGGCAAAACTAAGTCCTGACTAAATCACAAGGTGTTCAGCTTCTTCTGCGTAACCAGTTCCCTACTAGCATTGATTTCAGGGGGTAGCACAAATCTATTAGACAAAGCAGTACGAGTAATGCTGTTACAAGAAATGCCAAAGGGTCTGTTCCTGCCTTGACACTTGCTGAGCTAAAAAGTGTTAATTAATAGTCTTCTTTGTGTAGATAAAGTAGCTTCCAAAACCTGAAGCTGGGCTCTGCTGATCACCTGCCTTGTTATAGAACCCAGCTGGAGTTTTGATTGCTCAGACCACCACCAGCTCATGCCTTAGACATTAGTATGTTTCTTAAATTTTGATTTCACAGAAATGAAAAAAATGCAACCTATTAGAATGCTGACCAAGGTCAGGTAAACTTTTTTGGTTGGGCTATTTGAAGCTTCCAGTTCAGCATTTAATCTTGAGTCAAGCTCACCAGAACAGTAGGCTACCAGCATTGCAAGAGAGTCCAGAAAAGCACAGGCATGAAATAACAGCCAGTGAGAGAAATCAGAAAATTTGCCCTGCAAATAGAACTTTAATAATTCATTAAAAGACCTGTTTTGGGTCAGTTTTCTTTTTGTCTTTGCATTTTCTTTTTTCCTGTTTGATTTATAGATAGTTAAAAATAGCGTTTCATCTGAATTGCGCCCAGTGTGATTATTCATGGAAGTGCTACTTGACATTCGTAATTGTATCAGAATATGGTCTAAACATTTCTGAATTGGGCCCAATCAAAAGCATGGGATTTAATAGCACTGTGATTTTAGGCTGACTCATCTGAGAAGCTATTTTGGATTTTTCAAGGTATTACTGTCAGTAAGTAGGAATTTTTTTTTCAGGTTGGAATTGCATGAAAGCCATCAAAGAGCATTATAAAAAAAAAAAATATTAGTGGTACTGGCTGGTTTTCTGCCTTAAAAATACCTCTCTGTACTTGAAGATTATCAGATGGAAGCTGACTGAGTCAACAGTATCCTGGTTTTACTATTTTGGAAGTATTTTCCATCACAAATGAAGTGACTTTGGAACTCAGAGTGCCCTGCTCATTAGTATTTAATTTGAAGGTGATCTCTAATTTTAGCTGTGCCTGGTCTCAGGTAATCATGTAGGCTCCCTGTGTTGTGGAAAGACAGAGGAAGAATCCTCCAGGGAATGATTCATCCAGCTGTCTTGCAGTGGGGAAAACCACTTGCTGGAAGATACTAACTTTTTCCAGTGGTACTTCCAGAGCATTTCTACTCCGTAACAGCATGACAGAGCATGTTACTAGCTGAGCCTAGGCATATGCCTGAGACCAAAAAAAAAAAAAAAAAAAAAAAAAGCCAATTATCCATCTAGGAAGTAACTTAGGATAAAAGAGGAGAAAGTTTCTGGACGAATGTTTAAAGTCAGACTGGGGTTTTTTTCCAAATTAAAACTCTTTATGAGAACTAGATAGGCTTGTGGAAAGTTTGTTCTGCTAGAAGCAGTGTTTATTTCCTGTAGAAAGGGGGATTTCTGCTTAACATGAGAAATCCACACTTACGTAGTCAACAGCCTGGTCTTCCTGGTCCAAAGCCGAGTTGACAGTGAGGTGACCAGTGTATCTGCCTAACAGCACGGAGTGTGGACCAGACAACTAAAAGGTAGTAATGACCATACAGGTTGTGGGGTGCAAGTGGTGTAAGAGTCTTCTGGCAGCATTGCTAGGCAGTTCAACTAATTGCCCTCTGCTGGTGGGATTATACTACATCTCTAAGCAGAGCAGCCATACAAGTATGTTAGCTTGTATGTTAGTCCTGGTATCATGCAGTATTGCACAGCTGAAGTCTCTTCCATAAATATGCTTCCTAAAATATACTCAAATCACACACATTACCATCTGTGAGCAGTGTAGCACTTTTAGCTAAAAGTAGTGACTAATATGGCATCCTTTTTTCCCTTGACAAGATTTTTTGGTGTTTAGGACTTAAGTACTTAGAAGTATAATATTCTCCTTCTCTGGAGTGGTTCCTGACCTACCAAGAGGCTGAGAGCTGGTTCTTGTATTACTGTCTTCACCTAACATCATGTCCTGAGTTTGATTAATTTAGTGTATTCCAACTGAGGGTAAGATTTAACTGAATTCAAGAATACAGAAGTAAACCGGGAACTGGTGCATGTCTGTGTGATCCAGGCATTTATTTAGAGAAAACGTAAGGGAAAAGGGAGCTCTGGAAGTGGTTCATATATGAAACATCCTACAATTCTTCTACCTCATAGCAGGGATCTGGGATAATAAAAACTTACAGAAAACGCCAGGAGGACTGCAGCAGACTTAGTGGCTTTCTTCCTCCTGGCAGAGCTTGCTGCCAGCACAACCCCACTTCCAGCTGCTTGGGAATCCCGGCATCCCAAGAGTTGCAGTTGATCTCCTCACATATCACATGCAGTTCAAGCGCCTCAGTTATGCCACCTTGAATTAGCAGCATCTGCTCTCTGCGTAACCTTGGCACTCACCCTCTTTCCTTCCTGTGCTTCCTTGCCTAAATATTATTTCTACTTGCATTACATCACCATAGTGAGATGTACTCCCTTGGCACTTCTGAGCAGTTGTTGTATGCTTCAAAACACTTAGTGACCTTGGCCACCTTTCAGCTATGGAAGCAGTTGGCCTTTGCTTTTTTATTCTCATGATGGGACTCATAATGCTCACTACCTAAGTCTCTTTCTATACAATACATGGATTAAATATAGAGTAAAAACCTTGGGTTTTGAAAATGAAGTAGTTTGTAAGGGTCATTCTCATGAGGAAATGTTGTGAAATTTGAGTCAAATTACTTGACATAAGACTGAATAGCCAGCCTGGGAAAGGACAAGACCTGGCTACCAGAATATTCTCTCACACAAGTTCTTGCACAGCAAACGGCACTGCACATAATATTTGTCACTAAGGTCTGAAAGTGCTGTGAAGGGTCAGTGGGGAACCTGATGTGGACTGGATATCTAAATTTCTGCTGACATCAAAAGGGATTTAACTGCCTAAATACATTTCCAAAGTTGCTCTACTGCCTTGTTTAAGTCCAGGAGATCAAAATCTGCTGCTTCTTTTTCTGCCTGAGTCTCTTCAGCACGTTGGTCCTATCTGCACTATAGTACCTCCGTCCCTCATCTCTTTCATCAGACTGACACTTTTAATCAGTGATTCTAGTGGTATTGTAGTACCAAGAAAATATCCTTCCTTCATTCAAAAGGATACGGAAACTATTGGTAATACCCTGCTAGAGTCATTAGTCCAATCAGGGGTGCTGCCCAAGGTCAGCTAATACAATGTGATCAACCTAGGGCACTGGTCACTTATGGCCAATATATTCTGTATCATTAAAATAATGGGGAGGAATCACTGGAGTGTGTTTTAAGTAATTTTAAATGTTTTTTTTTAATAGAGGAGTGAGAGGGGAAATGGAAGGCAAAGCAAATAGAGGTTGGTAAGAATAACAAGGGAGGAAAGACTCCATACAGCAGCTTATTGCTAGAAGAAATCTTGTTGAGCAGCTCCTTATTGAAGTTTTAAGAATTAAATGTGCTTTTCTAACAATTGCTTTATTTTCATTTTGCTCCTTTTCAGTTTGTGTACGATTCTTCCCATGCTGCTCAGTGGACATCACAAAATTTCCAGGCAAAATTTGGTGGAGGCTGAGGAAAACCTGCTACAGAATTGTCGAACACAACTGGTTTGAAACTTTCATCATATTCATGATCCTGCTGAGCAGTGGAGCCCTGGTAAATGAAACTGTATTTCCTAGCTGGTTGAAAGTGGACATGGGTCTCAGAGAAGGTGTTCTCCAGTTAGTTGTCTCTAAGATCTTATGTGCCCTGATGATGTTATCTCAAAGCAAAGTAAGTCTGGGGCTAAAGCAGGTCTTAAGCTTTTCTGATTTCACCTGCCTTTATCATAAGGTGGGGAACTTTATTCTGTTGCAACATAAATCTGTGACATGCACGTGTTCTGAAAAGCAAATAGCAAATCCTTATGGAAGTCTGTGTCGGGAAGTATCCCAGCGTTATTAATTCAGGGTCCCATAACTTCTCCATGGTAATTCCCAACTGGAAGTTTGCATTTTGCTCCAAGAATGGGTATTGTTTTGGCTTTTTTTTAGCACAGTTTCTATCCAGCAAAGCAAAATCATGAAAGACACAGGGGGCACTGAATCAGTGCTACCGATGAAGTTTGTGGGTCCCAGTCATGTTTTGAATTCACCTTAGGATAAATCACTGTACCTTCTCCGCTTCCTGTCTGCATCTGAATGAATGTGTATCTATGGAGGCTGGTAAGTCATTGCCCAAGACTCTGATAAGGCATCCTCTTCTCCTGAGATCCTGCTATGTACTGGGATTATCCTCTCTGTGTTATCACCCTTGGGTTCTTCATAGCAATGGCAGCATATATTTATGTTGCTCATTTACATGTCAGGAATGTCACTGAAGTTGGTGGGATTTCTCCCAGTTTATTATCCAGACATAGAGCAAAGGGGTATCTCAAAAGTTTAGCAGGCTTTGGTTTGGTGGTCACTGATTCAAGGACTGAGAAGCATGTTATATGAGGAAAGGATGAGAGAACTGGGTTTGTTCAGCCTTGAGAAAAGAAGGCCCAGGGGAGACCTTGTCACCATGTTCCAGGATTTAAAGGGTGACTACATCTACAAAGAAGATGGAGACTCCTTTTTTACAAGGAGTCACATGGAAAAGATGAGGGGTCATGGGCACAAGTTATTCCCAGAGATTCCGACTGGATACAAGAGGAAAATTTTTTGCAATGAGAACATTCAGCCATTGGAATAATCTCCCCATTGAAGTGGTGGTCTCCCCAGCACTAGATACTTTTAAGTTTCACCTGGACAGGGTGCTGGGCCATCTATTCTAGGTAATGCTTTACCTAGAAAGGTTGGACCAGATGATCCTTGAGTCCCTTACAATCTGGGATTCTATGATTCTGTGATTTTCTTCTCCATAACGGAGTAAGGAATACACCTGTTAAATACACCATATCTGGACAGTCTACTTTGTATTTCTGGAGGTCAGGATTAACTTCAACCAAACAGATGAATCTGCCTTAAGTAGTGAGAGGACTATCACAGTATCACAGTATCACAGTATCACAGTAGGTTAGAGATTGGAAGGGACCTCAAAAGATCATCTAGTCCAATCCCCCTGCCGGAGCAGGAACACCTAGATAAGGTTACACAGGAACGTGTCCAGGCGGGTTTTGAATGTCTCCAAAGAAGGAGATTCCACAACCTCCCTGGGCAGCCTGTTCCAGTGTTCCGTCACCCTCACTGAGAAGAAGTTTCTTCTCAGGTTTAAGTGGAACCTCTTGTGCTCCAATTTGTACCCATTACCCCTTGTCCTTTCATTGTTTGCCACTGAGAAGAGCCTGGCTCCATCCTCGTGACACTCCCCCTTTATATATTTATATACACTAATAAGGTCACCCCTTAATCTCCTCCAAACTATAGAGACCCAGCTCCCTCAGTCTTTCCTCATAAGGGAGATGCTCCACTCCCTTAATCATCTTAGTTGCCCTGCGCTGGACTCTCTCCAGCAGGTCCCTGTCCTTTTTAAACTGAGGGGCCCAGAACTGGACACAATATTCCAGATGAGGTCTCACCAGGGCAGAGTAGAGGGGAAGGAGGACCTCTCTCGACCTACTAACCACCCCCCTTCTAATACAACCCAGGATGCCATTGGCCTTCTTGGCCACAAGGGCACAGTGTCGGCTCATGGTCACCCTGTCGTCCACCAGGACCCCCAGGTCCCTCTCCCCTACACTGCTCTCTAACAGGTCGTTCCCCAGCCTATACTGGAACCTGGGGTTGTTCCTGCCCAGATGCAGGACTCTACACTTTCCCTTGTTATATTTCATCAAGTTATTCCCCGCCCAGCTCTCCAGCCTGTCCAGGTCCCTCTGGATGGCAGCACAGCCTTCTGGCGTGTCAGCCACCCCTCCCAGCTTAGTGTCATCAGCAAACTTGCTGATAGTACACTCAATTCCCTCATCTAAATCGTTGATGAATATATTAAATAATAGTGGTCCCAGTACCGACCCTTGAGGCACTCCACTAGATACAGGCCTCCAACTAGACTCCGCCCCATAGACTACAACTCTCTGGCTTCTCTCCTTCAGCCAGTTCACAGTCCACCTCACTACCCGATCATCCAGACCACACTTCCTCAATTTAGCCGCAAGGATGCTGTGGGAGACCGTGTCAAACGCTTTGCTGAAGTCGAGGTAGACCACATCCACCGCTCTACCATCATCCATCCACCGTGTTATTTCCTCATAAAAGGCTACGAGATTGGTCAAGCACGACTTCCCCTTAGTGAAGCCATGTTGACTGCCCCTCATAACCCTCTTATCCTTGATATGCCTTAAGATGGCACCAAGGATAAGGTGTTCCATCACTTTCCCAGGAATGGAGGTGAGGCTGACCGGTCTATAGTTACCCGGGTCCTCCTTCTTGCCCTTTTTGAAGACAGGAGTGACATTTGCTTTCCTCCAGTCCTCAGGCACCTCTCCCGTTTCCCAAGACTTGGTAAAGATGATGGAGAGCGGTCTAGCAATGACCTCAGCCAGTTCCCTCAGCACCCACGGGTGCATCCCATCTGGACCCATGGATTTATGGATATCCAGATTGCTCAACTGGTCTTTAACCCATTCCTTATCGACTAAGGCAGACCGTTCCGTTGACCTATCTTCATCCGGGGTCTCAGCGGTACAGGGCTCTTCAGGACTGCCTCCAGCAGAGTAGACAGAGACAAAGAAGTCATTCAGTAACTCTGCCATCTCTGTATCTTCTGTCACCAGGGCACCCGTCCCGTTCATCAGCGGGCCTACATTGCCTCTGGTGTTAGTTTTACCTGCCATGTATTTGAAAAAGCTCTTTCTGCTGTCCTTGACCCCTCTCGCCAGCTTTAATTCCAAGGAGGCCTTAGCCATCCTAGCAGCTTTCCTACATCCTCTAGCAGCAGCCTTATATTCTTCCCAAGTGACCAGCCCTTCTTTCCATGACCTGTAAACTCTCCTCTTCCACTTGAGCATACCGAGCAATTCCCTATTTAGCCACGCAGGTCTCCTGACCCTCTTCCTTGACTTCCTACGTGTCGGGATGCTCCGATCACCTTAGAAAGGTGCCTGCTTCTTCTCATTAGAAATAATCTCAGCCAGAAAGCATGATGCAGGATGAGTGGTAAGGTAGAGGATTTACTAAAAAGACCTGGAGAGAGAACAAGCAACAGAAAATATAAACTACATCACAGCGCCACACAAAAGCCAAACACCCTACTGGGCTGTGTAAATAAGCGTGTTCTTCCACTCTAGTTGGCATCAAGGAGGCCTCAGCTGGAGCACTGGCTTCAGCTCTGGGCATTGCACTTTGGGAAAGACATGGGCTAATTGAAGAAACTCCAGAGGAGAGTAGCACAAATTATCAGTGGCCTAAAAAAAGGACAACACAGAAGTAGTGGGTTTATGTAGTTTAAAGAAAGTCTCTGCAGGGAGACAAGGAAGGTGGAGATATATAAATGTTGATGTGAAAAGGAAAGGGATGGATTGTTCTCCAAGTCCACCAGGGATGGGCTGAAATTTCACCCAAGGGATTTTATTATGAAAAGTAAGAGACTGGAAAACTTGGGTAAATAGTAGGCTGCTGAAAATTGTCATCGCTTTGCTGAAATCAATGGAGTCTGACAGTTTTTGCACCAGCTTGAGAATCAGCATGTTAATTTTTTAACACAATTTAGAGGGGGCATGTCACTTGCTATAATATGCTTTAGATGAATACACTTCCTTACATATGTAATTAAAAGTGCCTTAGATACTGAACACTGCAATATAAATCTCATTTAATTTTCATTGCATGCACTCATTTACTTCTTGAGATTTTCAGTTTAGCCAGTGCAATTCTGTATAATGCTGCATTTTCCTACATACAAACACTGCGCTTCAGTATTTGGAGTAGAGACGTTGAAGGCAACAGACAACTTTTTTCTTCTGTTATTCTGGGGTGAGCTCTTCCAAAAACTGAGCTCATCCTGCTACATCCCTGCAACATGCTAAGTTCTTAAAGGGGTTCAAAAGACAGTGTATATTTGTGTGGTAATTAAGCCATCAGAATATATCTATAGCTTACTGCAAAGGATCTGAAAACCCTTCCTATGCATTTAAGCCATAAGCACCCAAACTGGGAGATTGTTTTTTTAATAGTAATTATGGATAACACGCAGGTATCTTGCTTAACTCTTTTTAAACACACAAAGCAAAGCAGAAAAAAATAGCCCTTAATGATGTTTTATATTGCAAAGATTTCATCCATTGGCACTGTGAAAACACGCAAAGCATTGCGGTTTTGTCATTTGGGTAACAGCTCTTGCAGAAGTACAGTGCACCTAAGGCATACAGGTAGCATATTTTTCATCCCTTATTAATCTGCTTCCTGACTCTCAGTGTGTTTTTAGTAGTCAAAATGCAATGTATTTTTTGACAAGTAGTAGAAAATAGGGAGAGCATAGGAGAGAGAAGGAAATCACTTTAAATAGTTTGTTGTTATTTTTGCAGTAATTGCAAAGTACAGCAAGTCATCTGACAGAGTGAGTCCCTACAAGAAATGATAAACTCCCATCTCTCGGTGTATTGTTTTCTGTGTCTTTCTCCAACAGCTCTTTCACACCCTTGAAATATCATTTTTGAAGGCAAGATAGGAGACCTAGTTGCAGTGAAAACGTCACCCCAAAGTGTGAGGACAAATGGACAAGCTTTGGCACAGGCTGCCAAAGCTTTCTTGTCAGTTTAATTACTGTTCCCTGGCAGGCAAAAGAGCAGTGTGACTGCTTGAGTGACAAGTAACACACTTCTTCTATCTCCAGACACTGGGTGTTCGCTAACTTTTCGAAGTTCCTCAGAAAGTAGCTACAGATCTTGAAACATGTAAATGTAGATAATGAAGATGATTAGCACAGACCCTCTCAAATAATGTTGTTTCTCGCTGCTAAGTGCTTTGGGTCACTCAATGGGATGAGAGAAATATATCAAAGCTTGGGTTTTCCGGGCTTCAGAAACACAGGAGCAGCTTGTGTAATGACAGTCATTAGAGTAGCTGGGAAGAAGATTGTAACCACTGCTCAACTTGGAAGCCCCAAAACAGGCCATATATATGCAACCCTGATGCTAGGATCCAGCCTTTTATTTGACATATATTAAAAAGTGAAAGCTAAATTACAAGACAACTTTGTTTTATTTTAGTAGGCGTATTGTTTTATATCTTAAACACTTTAAAAGGGTTATTAAGTTGCTTGTATTTGCTATAGAGACTGAAGGTCTTTTGATGATGCCCTGCTTAAGATTAGTTAGAGAGACAGATGAGATGGGTAGGTAGATACCTTGATCTTTAAAACATAATTGTTCTGTTAAGTGAATAATAATGAGCATTTCTTGAGGCAGATAGCTGTAGCTACCTGAAATGTGGTGGCTGAACAGAAGCCAGGGAACTCTGGCACTCTATAACACAGGCAGGATAATAGCCCAATTTGTCATCATTAGCAATAAGATATTATTAAGGTAACTGTAAGGGTCAGATTCTACCTTCTAAAGACAAGGGTCCTATGCCCTGGGACGTCTGAGATCCCCTGATACGGTGGGACAGCTTGGGGTGGCAACCTGCTCACATAGTCACATTCCCAAATTCAGGGTGCTTAAGGTCTCCTTAAACTCCAAGCATGTCTAGTCATTACAACCAGTAGAGACTGGAGAGAGATATTTAAGCATATGCCCATTATAAGGGAAAACTGAACAGATCTCTGTTAGATAAGCATCAGTCCTCTTTGTGCCTGTGTACTCTTTCTGATGGTAATGTTCAAGTATATCAGAAATCACAGTCAGTATATGATACCCCATCAAATAATATTTCAGACTTGGAGTGCAGCACCCATGCTTTCCAACACACTTTAGGAGAAGTTTTTAATCAATGTTTTGTACTTCCAGGCTTTTGAAGATATTTACCTTGAAGATCGAAAAAACATAAAAACTATGCTGGAATATGCTGACAAAATATTCACTTACATCTTTGTATTGGAAATGCTCCTGAAATGGGTGGCTTATGGCTTCAAGAAGTATTTCACCAATGCCTGGTGCTGGCTTGACTTCCTTATTGTAGATGTAAGTATCATTTTGGAGCTACAATTCTTCTTGTATTGGATTTTATAATGCGTAAATCTGGCAGCTTTGTGTTTGCAAAATGACAACTGTCACTTTGATTCTTAACAATAATCCTAGGCAAAGCTTAAAGGAGGTCTTGATATGTAACTGTGCCTTCCCATGAATCAGCCTGCCAGAGTGGAGAATACCTCTTTGTCTCATGACATAGAGGTGTTACCCTGCTAATTTGAGTCACATTTGCTTCTCATCCCTAGGAACTTGTTGTTTCTTTTAGCATTTAACATCTTACTCCACACTCACAGCTAGCACAAGGTCCGGTTACCTCTGACTGCTCCACACATGACCTCGACACACGAGTCTTTCAGCAGCTTAGAGAAGTTGTCCTTGGCGTAGTTTCCCAGCAAGGCTGCCAGCGGCATGTAACAGTATGTTCAGTACTGTCTCCAAAGTATTTACCAGTGAAGGAGTCCAGCAAAAGGTGTCAACAGTCCTCTTGTCAAAATGATTTCACTATTACAAAACCTTACAAAATACTCCAAGTCCCTGGAATATCACAAAGCATAGTTCTCCTACAAGGATAATCTGTGAAAGCAAGTAATAGTTGAACAAAGGGAGCTGATGCCCCAGGAGCGTTGCTAGTACCAGGCATGTCCCCTCTGAAGTTCCACATTGCCTGAATGAGGTTTAACCTTTCATCACAGTGTATCAGGAAGGAAGAAATTATCTCCCTGAGGCCATTTCTTACTAGCTGGAGGTTTTAATGTGGAAGGCTGGCAGAGCGTTGCCATGCTTGTATAACTTATTAAACTTTTGACAAATTATTTTTCCTCATTTTATATCTGAACCTTGACTCAAGGGAGAACTACATTTTTTTTTGGCCCCAGTCCAGGAAAGCACTTCAATGGGACAATTTACTTGTTTGAAGTTATGGACATTTGTAAGTGCACTGCTGGATCAGAGCCTTTGGAAGCTTCTCCAGAGCTTTAATAAATTGATTTATGAAAAGGAAGTTATTTTCATAAATTGTAGATCATAAATTCCTCTTTGCATGCATGCTTGGAAACCTCTTAAAGGGAAGGTACTCATTTTCCGCAGATTAGCTTCAACAGAAGAGGAAGGCCTGGTTTAATTAACTAACCACAACATTGGAAACCATCAGTTCCTAAGTTACAGGCCAATCCCAAACACTGTGTCTACTGTGGTTTAGGTTGAGTGCCACAGCTTTTCTTTCCTGGTTTCTCCATTTGTAAAATGGGACTAATAGGACTCACCTGAAGTATTGCATTGGCTTCCAGTAATTTGTTAGTGGAGTTATTGTTGTAATGAGCTTCTGAAGACTAGAAGGGCTGGATGAGGGCTGAATATTGTCACAACTGTATGTTTGGAGCTCTGCTGCATCACTAACAGTTTGAAATGAGTTCCATACTTGTTATAAATACATGTTTTGTAGCATGACATTGAATCAATACCAAAGAGACTAAAAAACAAAGCTAAATTCTCTCCTCTGAAAATAAAACCGCTTGGAACAGGAGCTACACAAGAATGTAAAGTCAGTATGTAAGCCTGAAATTTAGCTACATGTATGCCTTTTAATGGTGGGATTTGTAACTCTAATGACTGTAGAAGCAGCCACAGGTTGGCTGGAGAAAGGGGCTACACCTTTCTTGCCACACATCCAAGAGCATACATGGCATAAAACAGTGCCATAGGGGAAAGGGGACCACGGGTCCCTGGGATTTGTCTTATCCCCAGAAAACCCACCAAGAGCCTTCTTATTGACCCAGCATTTTTTAATTGTCTTAACTCACATTTAAGTTGGTTGTGCAGGCTTTCAATCTAGCCAGAAAGTTAACTCACCCTTGAGCTGTTTTAGTTATTGATTGACTCTAGGAAATCGCTTGCCCTTTAGTGTTCTCTGAATAAAGCTTTTCCCCATGCCCCATTCTTTTCTTCAAAGGCATTTCCCTATGCTGATCATGAGAACCTGGTACTATATTTTTAGCAGGTTTAACATGCTTTTCTCCTACCCTATTGCTCACAGCCCCTGCCACTCTGAATTGGCAAAGTAACATGCTGTCATTTCTCCTGCACACTTTTTACTTCAATTTGCATTTTCTTTTTGGTCCTTTGAGAACCAAATCACTGCAACTGAGCTGCAGAAGGGACTGAATGGGTGAATTAGCTGCTCCAAAAGGAGCAGATGAATCACTTGTATGATTTTCTCAAATTTATTTGTTTAAAATTATTCACTTAAAAAATCCTGATCTGCAAATTATTCATTAGCAGTTTGGTATTAGTATTCAAACTTCAAGCTGTGATGGCTGATTTTTCATTGGACATGTGAAACCATTTATCATCTGTGTTTTCTCATTGTACAAATGCAACTCAGAATTCTTTTTGTGTTGTGAATAATTCATAAAACCAGCCCAAAATTTGCAAGTATTCACTGTTTCTAAATGGGAAGTGAACCCAGAGAGGGTATAAGCATTTTTTGTTTTTGGTGTGTGTGTGTATGTAGCCTGCCTTGTGAAATACCCTTGACACTGATTTGGACCAGCGGAACAGCAAAAGCTGCATCTGACGATTGTGGATTACTAAAGAAAATTGTGTCTTGCAAAATCTGAACATCAAAACACACAGTAATCCACAAACTGAGAGCTATTTTTGCTGGATATAGAATCCCTAAAGGATGATCTCTGATAATGGGCTTCTCTGCAGCTCAAAGTGTGCTAGTGTAGCAAAACCATAACAGAGTGCTTTTAAATATATTGCAATACAATAAAGTCCTATCAACAACCCTGCAACAGAGTTCTTTGAAAGGAAGGGAGAAAGGAGTAATTAAACCACAAAATGCAAGCTCATTTCAGCTTACGGCACCTGGGAAAGATTTCTTGGATGTCTGCTTAAATTTGGATACACTGAAAAAAACAGCATTAGTGTACATCAATATGTTACCACCCTGCAAATAACAAGTATACTGCTAAAAGTACCCCTCTTCTGCACTGCAGATATAGCCTATCTATTCTCATGAGTTGGAGTGGTGGGCACTCAGTCCTCAGCTGTTTTCAAATGAGGGAAAAGCAGACACCATGGTATATCTGAAGTGTAGACAGACATCAGAATCACCATCAAGAATGGTGTTTATGCGCAGTCCTCTTTGCTAGGATTCCCAGGCAAATATTTTCACAAAGAATAGTTATTTTCCAAGCATTCGTGCAATCAAAACCTCTTCATACAAAGCAGATTAAAGAAGGAGTCTGAACTTGGCCAGGGACAGAAGTGCATGGTTTCAAAACAAATGTTTCTGAAAAGTGCTCTCAACTAGGCATGTCCTGCGACAGGCAGAGACAGTTGGGGTTTAAAACAAGGGACAGATAAACTTCACCGGTTATGCATGCTGGTGTCATGTTTGATGTTCCTTTCAATTGTTTCCTCTGACCTATAAATATTATCTTGAGCTTATCTATTTGAGCTTCAGCCAGTTGATTCTGAGCTATGTCCCAGTCTCTGCTGACAGCAGATGGATAATTCCATTGCAGTGGTCAATTCGGGAAAGGCATCAGTCTGAAGATTAACATCATTCAAAGACTGGAGGTGTTGCAGTCAACAGCTTCTTTGCTTGCTGATCATTCATTGAAGGCAGAGGAGAGAGATCAGTACCCTGCAGAAGCTGTCACGAGAAAGCTCTCAGGAAAGGGATGTAAAGACCCTAACTCATTAGGAAGAATGCTCAGAAAAAAGGTCACAGCCAACTTTCATTGCCTGTGGCATACACAGAAAAATCCTCTTAAATGGGTACTAATGTCATTTCTCCACAGAAGTCCATTATCAGAAATCCATCATCTCCATTGCAGCTTTTGGGTTCAATTTAATTGTCCAGAAGTTAGTCCCAATCCAGGCTTATAAAAAAAACCTAATTGTCATTTACTGATTTTAGAGATGAGGGTTTCTCCAGAAAGTCTTTCTATTCCGTTTTTCAAGATCTGATACTTGGGGGAAAGCTATTTTCTTAAGCAATTGCTTTTTTAGAGATCCTGGCAGCCTCCTTTCCCTTTAGCCATCTCCATCAATGGGCCCTAACACTGTGTCCTGCAGCAGGGAGGGGAAGATCATCTCTTGTTCTCAATTTTTGCTCTGATGCAAAAAATTTCTCTCTAGCTGAGTCACCACAGAGAAAGATTGCTCCTTCCATCATGTCTTTTCCCTAAGAGCCTGCTCTGCCACCATACAGGCAGGGGATCACAAGGGCTTTAAGAAGTGTATCTGTCTGCAAAGTGGTTCAAGCAAGGTTCAGCAATGGATTTGGAGGCCAGACATCTCAAATGAGTGATTCAACAAATCCACTAGGCAGGATTTTGTAGATGCTTTTACAGAAGTAAAATAATATGTACCTTTCTCACACCCCCGTACCTTTGTGAATTTATAGCACAACATGTTTCTGGTGTTTGCCTGGAGCCGCTGAGTTTGTACATACAGATCTGTATTCCCCATTGAGTAGCTTTCCAAATTTCCTGTTTGCTGCCAAATTTCCTGTTTGCTTGTTTGAGAACTGCTCATGGCTGTTCAGTCATTAATGCAGCATCATTTTCACTGGATGCTTAAAAAAATACAGATATTACATTTTTCAATATAGTTTCCTGGAAAATGCTTGCTCTGAGATTTCTACTTTGAATACTTCACTGCCAGGCAAATTAAGAAGCTAATAATCTTTGCATTTGACATGAACAATCTAAAACAGTTGTTCTATCCCTAGTTAAAAATTGAATTGAATTAAATTATGCCCTTGTGTTGGATTGTCTTTAAGTGACAATTAAAAACTTGCTGTGTGAAGTAAATATTGATGGGTTATGATTACTTTAATTGTTTTTTCCATCTGTATTCCCTGTTGATTAGCTAGGTGATTTCTGTTTGCTTTACCACTAATTACATAATCTGTTGCAATGTGTTGTGAAATCCAATTGGTATTCTTGGGAAATCATCCTAAAAGCATGTGCATTTTA